ATGGATGGTGACTAAGGCAACCTAAGCAACAGATTTAACTGCCCTAACTGGGGATCCTGTGGTCTTCAGTAAATGATAATTCTCCTAACTAGCAGAAAACCTGTTCCCATATACTGGAAATATAACCTTATATTCAAACAATCCTCTGGGGCAATAGAGATTTAATAACATCCTGCTGAATTAGACATTAAGAAAAAGCTATCGAAAATTAAAGATTTTTAAAGATACCATAAAATATCATCACATTGGTAAGCTATTTCCTTCACTTACAAACCCTATTCTCTTTATATTGGAAGATGAAAATTAATATCCTTCTTCTTTCTGTAAAATATGCTTATTAGATAACTTCCTAAACAACTTTTATTCTTGGATGATGTAATAGATTAGTCACTATTTTTCCCAAAAGGAATGAATGAAGACAGTAAAATTATTAAAAGGAATGTATAAAGTTTGAAGTAACTGTTCTCTTCCTTGCTGTCCCCATTTAAATTAGTTCTCTCAGTTAAATATATTGCTTGATTTCTAAATATCTATAGTTTTTTCTTTGCTGATTAACTTCCTCATGAGCATCCATGATTTTCCAGACATAAAAGCCCATTACCCATGCAACCTTAAAGAGTTCATCTACCTTCAGACTAGTAAATTTCACTGATTTCCCTGCTTATTTCTAGAGCTCTTCTACATCTCTGTAAAGCTGTCTTACAGGTGACTCAAACTAAACATGCCTATTTCCCCAGCCTGTAGCAATCCTTCTCCTCCCACTGTGGAAAGGGCACAGCTCAGTAAGGGATACCACTGTTTATACAGCCCCTCAAGCCAAAAATCTGGTATCATCCTTGATTTTCTCCTTCTCTTCCTTACCTCCATATTCATTCTGTCTCTAGTTCCCATTGATTCTTTCTCCAAATGTCTCTCAAATCTGCTGTGCCAGCCTTACTACCGTCTCTCTGGTTCTAGCCCTGATTACAGACCCTCATAATTTTTCACCTGGATTACTGCTTTATAATCAGTCACTGACCATTTATGCTTAGTCGCTCAGGCATGTCTGACTCTTTGTGACCCCCCTGGACTATAGCCTGCCAAGCTTCCTTCTCCAGGGGATCTTCCTGGCCCAGGGATTGAACCCAGGTCTCTGGCATTACAGGTGGATTCTTTACTGCCTGAGGCACTAGAGACGCCCTAGTGCATTATTCCCATGTCTATCCAGCAGATAATGATCTTTTCAAAATTTCAGTTTTAATATTTTATGGCCTAATTAACAATACTGAATGTCCTTCTATTGCCAACAAGGCAGAGGACAAATTCCTCACTGTGGCTTCTGGGCCCCTCATGACCTGGCCCCTGCCTACTTGTCAAACATCATCTCGTACCACTCTCCTCACAATCAAGCTATATCCAAATGCGCAGATGTCCTTAATGCCACCATACTTTCAACCTCTTTATCTTTGTGCAAGCTGTTTCTGTGACTTACCACATACCCCTTCTCCTTCTCTTGTAAAAGAAGGTCTTCTCTGACTGATTCAGGTTAAGTTTCCCTTCTGTTTGTTTCCCGCACACATCTCGTTTTATAACCATTGTTCCACACCTGTCTTCCACTAGAATGTAAGGACTAGGAGGAGGGGCTGGGTCTGTGGCTCATTCCAGTACCCTTAGCACTGAGCACAGTGTAGTCAGAATAAATATTTGTTAACTAAATGTATAGTATGATTCAAACTGAAAACTCACTATTGAAAAGAATCGTGAGTGAGCATAATTATTAGAAAACATAATCTATTTTTTCCCAAAGGTATAAATGGTCACATTTGACCTCTGGTAATATCTGTAACATTCCAGAGCTTAAATCCTAAGTGTTAAATCTGTAGTCATATTTGCACTTCATCGACCTACAGTCCAGGCTGGTGTTAGCTGCCTAGTTTGACATCTGGGCTGACTCATTTTAATTTGACTGTTTGAGGTTAGCTTCCAGAGCTGTTGGACCTTGTGTTATCAGTCATTTCCCTTCTAGGTCAGAATTTAACTGACTTAAAGGAAGAAAGCAATAGCCTTCAGAAGACTAATTTTTCCATCTTTTAGCAGAAAACAACTAACTTTCTTCTCCACAGGTGTTCTTTCAGATTGTTGTTTGTTTTTTTTTATTTTTACAAGAAAATAAAAACAGTGAATGGGACTTGAGGCTGTATCCCTAAATTTTATACTTATCCTCAGTTGATAAAAATTTTAATATATGATCTTTGAAAATAAAAACTGAGTTTTTCACAAATGCTAAAAACTAGGATAGAGCATCTAAACCTCCTTTCGTTAATTCAACAAATGTTCACCAGATACTTCAGGCTTGTGAGGAGTGCTGTGGTGGAATTATATTTTGATGTAATTTATAATGTGCTTTGATCTGTCTCATTACCCTGTGATCCTTCAGACAACAGCTGGGCCTTCTGCTTGTGTTTCAGGGAAGGGTTTTTACAGACAACAGAGTAGAAAAACATCCTGGACTTGTAAGCTTAAAATTCTAAACCCTGAAAGACTTGGAGCATGACATTTTTGAAAACCATGTAGTCAGTTGGAACATGTCTTCCACCCCCAGATTAGACAAAGAATCTATGCCAAGAGAAAAGACAGGGAGCAAAGAAGAGAAGAGGGGAGAGGAGAAGAGAAGGGAAAGGGGCGGGGGTGGGGGGAGACAGCAGCTCAGGAAGGAAGGGAGCTTGGAGGAAGTAGAGGGGAAGGGAGAGCCAGAGGGAAGCAAAAGGATAAGATGCTGGGATACAGGGCCCACTTCCAGACCTCCCTGGACTCTATCTCCTGATAGGTTGGGAGTACATGAGAACTCATTCTATCTTTCCCTGGTAAGCTTGTGAAAAGCAACAAGAGATCAGAGTTTCCCTATGCTCATCATTGTACCAGCTAAAATCTAATGAGGAAAATAAAAACAACTCTTATTTAAAACTGAGGAAATATAATCATGAAAGAAAATTGACTAATAGGTATTAGACACCTCAGGAGCCTAATGGAATAAGGACAAAATCCTGAAATTAGCAGTAGCAGGAAGCCAGTACCACGCCTATGCTGGAAGGACAATGGAAAGAGGTGGTGTTTCTGACAGCCCAAAGTCCAGGGTCATGTGGGAAACTGGAACCACAACAATCCTGACTAAAGGGAATAGATCACAAAAGAAATGCAGCTGATAATAATAATGCAGGGAAAGGTGGACAAGAACCCTGGCCCTCCCTGCTTCCGACCCTCCTGTTGTTCACAGATACCTTACAAGCACCAAACCCAGCTGGAATCTAACTGACATAAGTCAGCCACTCTGTAGGAGAGTAAGAAGGGTAAGGCATGGATCTGAGGACAAATACACACAGATGTAAAAGTGGGAAAATGTCTGCAGGGGATATCTGGGACTGTGGACCTAAGAAGGCCTCATAGAGTCCCCACACCTCAGGATGACCTGGAGGGGCCCAGAACAAGGCACATACGACAAAGGAGCCCCAAAACTTGAGGGGACCTTGGAGCTGGGACAGGGAATATACATCTGGGATTTCCCTGGAAGGAAACCAAAGACCAGATGGGCCATCAGACACTTCAGGGGATTCCACCTTGGACAAAAGACAGCATTGAGAAGACCAGGCTTGATTTCACCATAATGAGTTGACTACATGTAAGTATCCTGACCTCCCCATGTCATTCTACATTTAGACAACACTCCAATACTCCTTAGTTGGTAAAGAAGCTGCCTGCAATGCCGGAGACCCAAGTTCGATTCCTGGGTTGGGAAGATGCCCTGGAGAAGGAAATGACACATCACTCCGGTATTCTTGTCTGGAGAATCCCATGGACAGAGGAGCCTGGCAGGCTACAGTCCATGGGGTCACAAGAGTCAGACACGTCTTAGCGACTAAACTGCCACCACCACCAACACTCCAAGTAAGAAGAGAGGAGACCAACTAGCAGAATGGAGGCCAAATCTAAATTCAGTCTTAGATAAAAAATAGAAAGAACCGTACCAATAAACAGACACAGTTCTTTATTTAAAAGAGCCTACTGAATATGTGGGGAAAGATGGACATATAACACAGGTATCAGTAAGAGGTCATGGTAAGGATACACTGAGGCTACAGATGTACACAGAGAAGTTGCTGTGTTTGCCTGTATGGTAGGACTTCTCAGAGAAGGCCTCAGAGACAGTGGTATTTGTTGAGATTGAGGGATGACTAGGGATTTAGCAAGCAGATGGAGGGGAGATCCTAGCCTCTGTTGTCTTCTTCTGTCCCTCCTAATGCTCTGATTTCAAAAGAAGCCAGCATATTTATTATCTAACAGCAGTCCATTAAAGTCTCTCAGAAACATGACAAATCTCTGGATTTATCTTCATTTTGAATGAAGCAGTGTTGGAATGATAGGATGGGTGTGACCTGTGTTTCAACTCTAATGAGTAGCTACAGCAGCTTGCAGGAAACTAGTTTCTTAAAAATATATCCTTTTATAGATTTGAAGAGGCCATTTTTATCCCCCCCTTTTTTTTCATTTTTTAAAAACTTTTATTGTTTATTAAGGAGGCCATTTTTAGATTTCAATTTTGAACTAAAGACTTGGATCTAAAGGCACTAAGGTAGTCTTTTGGAATGTGTAATCCACAAAGAAAATATATTTAAGCCATCTAAAATATATCTTCACAATGAGCAAATGTCCATAGTTGAAACAAATTTCAGATCTAACAGTCTAAAAAATAAATAAATAAATAAATAAAAATTAAAAAAAAAAAGATCTAACAGTCTGATCTGTCAGGACTTTACTGCAAATATTGTATTTTGCCATTTTTTGAAATAGAAACAAAACCCTTGATTTACAAATAACCTCAACCATCACTCTTCCAGAAAAAAATTTCCCAAACTTACCCTTTATAATCAAATAATTTAAGAAACAAATAATTGTTGTTCTCTCCATTGTTTACAAAATGGAAAATGATTGTGTTACAGAAAACAATAGAAGTCCTTTTCGTTTACCTCATTAGAGATGTCTGTTCCAGAGAGATCAACTGATACCAAAGAAAAGATGTTTGCAATGAATTCAACTCCTAGGTCAGTCAGATGTTCACAATTTCGTAAACTCAAGTAGTTTAGATTATAGCACCTGAAAGAAAGTAGCATGAAAAAGAACTTTAAATTTTTCATCACCCTGTCAAATAGCAATTTCTTTGCATACAAACTATCTGGGGAAAGCAAATGCTATTGAAACAAGGATTTTATTTTTCTCATCATAATGTTAATGTTAATAGTAAGCTTAAAAGTGGAAATAATTGACATTACACAGCTGAGTGAAATAGTTTTTCTGTGATTTCATTTCATCTTGCAATTTCTGATAAGAAAAAAATATCACATGCATGCAAAAAAACTCATATAAATACCAAGATGAATAACCACTAAAAGGACAAAGTTAAATCTCTCACTTTTCCTTACACATTTACTACAAGAATTGGACTTCACCCTGTGGTGTACACAAGACCTTTGACAAGTAAAGAGGTTCAAGAATAAATTCACCCGCTAGAATATCCCTTGGGATACACTGGCGTAAAGGTTTACATAGAGACAATGTTCTTGAAAAGGACAGATAAGTCACCAGGTATAGCTATTTATAACTTCTTGAGTGATTCCATCTCAAACTTTCTCCAAGGTGAAATTAGTAATAAACAGAGATAGGAAAATATTAATTCACTCTATGACTCCAATATCTTACTTGGTTTAACTGAATATTAGACCAGCTTCTAGGCATCCCTGATGTTTTCCAAATGGCTTCAAAAGTCTATCTCTGATCTCTCATATCAACAGATACACAACTACTAATATTATATATAATATTATTGTTTTATTGTACCGTTCTGATAGTTTTGCAATGGAGGCATCACCCAGGTGGGTACAGTTACTTAAGTTTAATTCTCTTATCTTTGTGCTTGCAGGACCGTCAAGAAATTGCTTTAGTCCCATATCACCAATTCTGTAGGAAAGAATAAGGAAAGTTCTACATGTGATTTTATGTGTAAATATGTACAGTACTATTAAAATAAGAGCTACTACACCCAGTACATTCCAAAATAGCAAGGTAATATCTATATCTGGTATTTTGTCCACATTTGTAAACCAAATTTGGTTATTTGGCTTTTACTTTAATAGAAAATATATAAATGATAGTAATAGAAGTATTAATAAAAATGCTATTCCTGTTCATTTGTTCATTTAATTAGGTGGCATAACTATTAATAAAACAGGTGGCCTGCAAGGTATCTTCCCTGAAGTTAAAATCTGATCATGTTAAATAGTGCCTGTTGCAATCTCCTGCAAAAGAAAAAGACCAAAACTTAGGATAGGGAGAACCAATACTTACAATCAAACTACTATCAAAATCTTAGAGGAATTTCCACTATGTACAGGTCAGTTTAGCTGGACTAGAAAAAACCCAGTAAGTTACGTATAGATCCTTTCTGAAGCAGACAAAACCTGATGCTGTAAGAAGACCTTGGCCTCAGCCTTCCCACACTGTCGTTAATCAGAGAAACCTCTGTGTCAGTGCCACCCCTCCCATAAGTCCTGATTTATAAATGATTCTCTAAATTATAGTCAACAAAAAACACACTTTTAATAAAATGACAAGAAGAAAATTCAGAAGTAGTATTAGGCAAATTAAATTAAATTAACACAGGGAAGGCAATTCAGTTAAAATACTATGCTAGTAAAAATATTAAACAAGACTAACAGGGTAGTTTTATATTGATTAGGATTAACCTCCAAAGAAGAGAATATGGATGGGTGTCGAATTTGGAGATCATATTCTTCCCTGCCATGAAATTATGTACAGTGAAATGGTGTAATAATGTGGTGATTTAAAATATGTGTGTGTGATCTAGCAATTTATAAATATATGTATGTGTTAAAAAAAAATCTTACTATCCATAGAAATTAACACAACATTGTAAATCAACTATACATCAAAAAAATAAATTTTTAAAAAATCAGATTGGTCTTGGATTTCTTCCCTGCAAGAGAAACACCAAACATATAAATATAACAGTATAAAGAATATTAATAAAATATCGATTTTAAATGTATTTTCTATCACAGAGGAAAAATCCAAGGCCAATCTGATTTTTTTTCCGGTAATTTGATTTTTTTTTAACATTTTAAATCAATTTATTTGCTTTGGGACATTTATAGGCAATTCTGGGCTTCCTGGGTAGCTCAGCTGGTAAAGAATCCTCTTGCAATGCAGGAGACCCTGGTTTGATTCCAGGATCTGGAAGATCCCCTGGAGGAGGGCTTGGCAATCCACTCCAGTATTCTTGCCTGGAGAATCCCCATGGACAGAGGAGCCTGGCGGGCTGCAGTCCATAAGGTCACAAAGAGTTGAACATGACTCAGTGACTAAACACACACACAGAGGCAAAGTCATGTTTACGGTCATTGTAAATCAAATCTTACTCTAAATTTTGGTTGCCTTTGAATATGGATTACAAATTTTTGAATATTAAGTATATTCATAAGCCTAATCGTAAAAAACTAAGTCATCCTACAGTCTTTTAAAAAATTACCTTTTAACCAAATAATTCTTAAAAATACTACTATGAGGACAAAAATCCAAGTCATGACTTTTTATGCAACATATAGTGTTAGTCACTTAGCCATGTCTGACTTTTTGCAAAACCATGGACTGCAACCTGCCAGGCTCCTCTGTCCATGGAATTCTCCAGGCAAGAATACTGGAGTGAGTAGCCATGCCCTTCTTTAGGGGATCTTCTGGACCCATGGATCAAACCCAGGTCTCCTGCATTACAGGCAGATTCTTAACCATTTAAACTAGCAGGGAAGCCCCTTTATGCAGACATAATATAGCATAAATACAAATTGAAGGAAAAATAATTAGGAATTCAAAAAGAACATAATTAAAGTACAATTTTGTATTAGACTTGGCTTTTGACAAACAAAAATGGGACATAAAAATTAATATAATTAATGTCATTTAAGTTTCATGGACTATTGAAGTATATTCAACATGATAAACAACTTAACCATCAAGCTTCCCATCAGCCTTACCCCTAAATAAAGACTCCAAAAGACAGAGATCACATGTTTGTACCATGATGTTATAAAACTAAAAATTAGTAACAAAATTATAATTAGATATAAACTACTTAGATATCTGAATACATTTTTAATAAATAATTCTTGGACAAAGAAAGAGAAACTCAAGTAAGCATTATAAAACTATATATCTTTCCAAAATTTATGTATTTAACATAATTTCAATTAATATCTCAATAGGATTTTTTTCTGAAATGTGACAAAATTATTCCAACATTCATTTGGAATAATAAACTGGCAAAAATATCCAATAACTTAAAAGAAGACAACTCATGAAGAGCGTTTCAGTCTGTTAGAATATATTTTGCTGTTGTTCAGTCACCCAGTCCTGTCTGATGCTTTGCAATGCCATGGACTTCAGCATGCCAGGCTTCCCCATCCCTCACCATCTCTCAGAGTTTGCCCAAGTTCATGTTCATTGCATCGGTGATGCCATCCAGCCATTTCATCCTCTGATGCCCACTTCTCTTTCTGCCCTCAATCTTTCCCAGCATCAGGGACTTTTTCAATGAGTCATCTGTTCACATCAGATGACCACAATACTGGAGCTTCAGCTTTGGCATCAGTCCTTCCAGTGAATATTCAGGGTTGATCTCCCTTAAGATTGACTGGTTTGCTCTCCTTGCTGTTCAAGAGACTTTCAGGAGTCTTCCCAGCACCACAATTCAAAGGCATCAATTCTTTGGCGTTCTGCCTTCTTTACGGTCCAGCCCTCCCAACCATATGTGACCACTGGGAAGACCATAGCCTTGACTATATGGACTTTTGTCAGCATAGTAATGTCTCTACTTTTCAACACACTGTCTAGGTTTGTCATCACTTTCCTGGCAAGAAGCAATTGTCTGATTTCATGGACTTGCCTGGTAGCTCAGATGGTAAAGAATTTATTAAGCTATAATAATAATGATAATAGATACACTTATTGAGTGTTTATTAAGTGCCAGACACTATTCTAAACATATATGAATTGATTTATTTTATCCTCACAACAATCCTGAGTATATACTCTTTATTTTCCCCATTTTTATAGATAAAATACATTGCAAGATTAGATAGAAGAGAGATGAATGATTGAAACAGAAAAAATAGCCTGAAAACACACATTTATACACACAAACACACACACACACACACTGACGTGTATCTGTGTTTATATGTATGTATATATAAATTTATATGATAATCCAGGAAGCATAAATATCAATAGAAAGGATTTTTTCACATAATAGCCAAGTTGATGGGTTAATGTAGTTAGTCCTAAACCTGGCTGTGCATCAAAATCACCCATGTTGCTGTTTTAAAAAAAAATGTTAGTTGGTGTTCCATCCCTAGATATTCAGACTCAGTAGCTCTGGGATAGAGCTTGGGCATGTGTAGTTTTATTCAGCTCTTCAGGTGATTCTGATGCTCTGGAATTTTCATTTTAAATCATAAATATTTTTAAAATGTAGCTTTCTATTACTGATTCCAAATTTAATTGCACTGTAGTAAGAGAATATAGTTTGTTGATACCAGTAATATAAAAGTTGTGAGGACTTGCCTTAAAACTTTATAGATAGTCCATTTTTTGAAGGATTGATATGTGGTTGAGAAAAATACATGCTTTGATTCTCAAATTTCCCATTTTAAGTGTATCTTCTATAGATGAATTTTAAAAAATCTAATCTAAAACTCTAATATTAAGCCTCCCCTATCATTTGTTATCAGCCAGTTCAGTTCAGTTGCTCAGTTGTGTCTGACTCTCTGTGACCCCATGAACCTCAGCATGCCAGGCCTCCCTGTCCATCACCAACTCCCGGAGTTTACCCAAACCCATGTCCATTGAGTCAGTGATGCTATCCAACCATCTCATCCTCTGTCGTCCGGTTCTCCTCCTTCCCTCAATCTTTCCCAGCATCAGGGTCTTTTCCAATGAGTCAGCTCTTCGCATAGGTGGTCAAAGTATCGGAGTTTCAGCTTCAATATCTTTTGTTATACTCTATTACATTTTTTTTTATTTTTTCACTCCGCTCTCATATCTTCAGTTATCTTCCAACCTCGTATTTCTCTGTTCACTGAGTTCTAATCTGCTGATTAGCAATCCATTTTATTTCAATAATTATATCATATTTTTTTATTTCTAAAAGTTAGTTTTTCAAGTTGTTATTCAGTCATTAAGTCATGTCTGACTCTGCAACCTGATGGACTGCAGCACAGCAACCTTCCCTGTCCTTCACTATTTCCTGGAGTTTGTTCAAACTCCTATCCATTGAATCAGTGATGCCATCCAACCATCTCATCCTCTGTCATCACCTTCTCCTCCTGCCTTCACTCTTTCCCAGCATCAGGGTCTTTTCCAAAGAGTTGGCTCTTTGTATCAAGTAGCCAAAGTATTAGAGCTTCAGCTTCAGCATTAGTCCTTCCAGTAAATATTCAGGGTTTACTTCCTTTAGGATTGACTGGTTTGATCTCCTTGCTGTCCAAGGAACTCTTGAGAGTCTTCTATAGTACCACAGTTCGAGAGCATCAATTCTTCAGCGCTCAGCCTTCTTTATGGTCAAACTCTCACATCCATACCTGACTACTGGAAAATCCATAGCTTTGATTATATGGACCTTTGTAGGCAAAGTGATGTCTCTACTTTTCAATATGGTCTGTAGGTTTGTCATAGCTTTTCTTCCAAGGAGCAAATGTCTTTTACTTCCATGGCTAGTCTAGTTATGTTGTTGCCTGCTCATATTTCTGGTTCCATTATCTATTTATTCAAACATTTTATACATAGTTACTTAATATTCTATGACTGATTCTTCTAATATCTGAATTACTCAGCTCAAATTTATTTTGCATATCTTTGTACACTTGATGACTCATATCTTCATACATTTGGTGGTCTTTTTTTTTTCATTTGATGGTCTTTAATTGTGAGCATCTATTTATTTGATTTTAACCTATGGGAATCCTGGATGCTTAAAGAGAAGATGCTTTCCTTCAAAAAAAACTTGGAGATAACTTATTCCAGGGGCTTGGGTACTATCTACTTGAGACTATTTTGTCCCTTTTGAAGGGTCCAAACGCTGCAGAAGTCTCATCCTGCTTCCCTATCTTGAGTCTTAAAGAAATTGATTCTCTCAATGCCAATGTTGAAATGAACATTTATGCTAATAGCAGCCCCACCTTTTATGTTTGCTTGCTCTTCACTCTTCATCTCAGAGAGTCTGCTCATTGAGAGGATGGTGATGAATCATGAACTGGATATTTCTGTTACTCTTTGTAGGCTCAGCAATGTATTGAAAGTATGTTTCATCAAGAATCTAAATTGTTTGTATTAATAGTGAGGCATCCTTTGAAGTGTTTTGCCAACTATACTGCTAGAAGCATAAAAACCTCCATTTATTTTTAAAATTAATTAACCTACAGAAGCCTGAGTGAAATATATGAGTGCAATTCAATTTTATTTATTTTAATACAAATAGAATTAACTGTTATGTTCTTAGTTGCTCAGTCATGTCTGACTGAGTGACTGAGAGTGGACTGCAGCCCACCAACCTCCTCTGTCCATGGGGATTCTCTAGGCAAGAATACTGGTATGGGCTGCCGTGCCCTTCACCAGGGGATCTTCTCAACCCAAGGATAGAACCCAGGTCTCCCGTACTGCAGGTGTGGTCTTTACCAGCTGAGCCACCAGGGAAGTCCATTAGCTGTTGTATAATAGCTTCCATATTGTGCTTCCATTATGATGTCAGCTTGTTCATGAGCTTGCAACTACAAGGTATCAGCTGGGGCTTTAGTCATCTGCAGAATTTACTGAGTGTGGAGGATCTGCTTCTAAATTTACTTGCATGTCTCTTGGTAGGAGGCCTCAGTTCCTTATTGGCTGTTAACTAGAAGCTTTATTTCCTAATCCAGGTTTTTCCCATTTCAAATCCTGTCTTTGCCTTCCCTCCCAACCCTCAGTGCCTCCCCATTTTAATAATAGGGACCATGGGTTAAGATTTTGTTTAGTGTAGCTTATTACTCTGACTTTTCTTATGTTATCCAAACTATTAACCAGTTTCTTTGTAGATCACATGCTATTTTGTTATCTTCTGGCCCCATGATATTTTAAGAAATTTACATAGGAAAGAGACTGAGATATCAATTGGAGAAGAAATTTTAGCAAGAATTTGATCCTTGCCCACCTGAGAATGCCAAGTTAGAAGCCTATTTGTAACTCAGGTGAAAAAAAAGGGTTTCAGTAAGAACTTGCCATCTGTGAGCAGATACACACAGAGGAAAAATCTAACTAGTACCCAAGACGAAACACTTCAGTAAGATTGGTTCTTCATAGGCAAATCAGAAAGTCCATTTGGGAAAAGACCTATTAACTGAACTAGCTGTGAGAACCTTCACTAGGATAAGTAGCCCACAAATGTTCTAGTGACTTCATTTAATCTTACAAGAGCCTGTGATTCTACATATCCTGAGCATTCCCTGATAATCTCCCCGTGCCTACATATAACTAGTCTGGGTTGGGTGCCCCTCCTTTGTTTTACCACGGAACTCTGCACTTACCTCTACTTAGATCCCTAACTTTCATGTTTACTATACTTACCAATGAGCATCTTGAGAAAGCCTGGAACATTCTAGATAATCAGTGTTTCTTGACTGAATGACTGTTTACCTTACACAGTTTGCCAGATTCAACACAGTGAGATGCTTCAAAGGTGAGAGTGATTTGAGGCTACCATCTGTGATTCCCTTGCAGTCTACCATGTAAATGTGCCTGATGTTTGGATAACTTTTGTCTATAAGTTTGAAGCATGCATCAGTAATCCTTTTATTTCCTGTTTAAAAAAAAAAGAAAATATTAAGGATTGTATTTGAATCACCGCAAGATTAAAAGTAAAAATTAATGCTAAACTACTTTTTAATATCTCACACCTTCAAATCGGATCTTTTTGATGTCACAAGCAGAAAGAGCTTTGAAAGTACTATCAGAAATATGTGGTGCACCAATGAAAACTACTGATGAAATACGACGGCATTTTTCAACTAAAGCCTTTAGAAGGAAAAAAAGAAAATATTAATCAGATTATATAGAGCACATTTATCAAAGTCATGAGATTATTTTTTCTCTCAGTCTTTTCAAAATGGACACATTAACTATTAAGTTGTCCTATTGTCAAAGAAAATGGGAACTTTTACTTTTTCCAATATACTTCACTACATTTACATTTGAGTAATGCGTAGGAATCAACTAAATGGTGTTACAAAAGATAGGAAAACATGAGACAATGGAATGCTGAAAGAAATCAGTATATGTAGAACTAGACATGTAGAACTAGACTTAAGGTTTATGCTTAAGCTTACATATGATTTTGTAAGATTTGATTGCAATATCATTGAAATAAAAATATCCTAAATGTGAAATGAAGTTTCTTAGGGTATTTAAAGATTCAAATGTTCAAATGTATGTATAAATTTCATAATTATATAAACATCAATTGCAATGAAAAGCCCATTCATATTTTTCAGTAATTCAAGCCACTAGAAAATGTGCCTACCAAATGGGACTGAGAAGAAAATGTAGTTTCCAAATACCTACTTTTACACAGTTGTCCGTCAGAGTCGGCATGTCATTGATAGTCAGATGCATTATCCCACTGCAGCTGTTTGCAATGTTCCTGAAGCCTTGGACTGAAATCTGAATTGTACAAAGTTGGTGAAAATGATGGGAGAACCCATTAGCATCACCTCTAATAAAACCCAAAGATAGTAATAACCCAAGATGTGTTATGATTTTGCTACTGTGTTTTAAAATTGAAACCATAACATGTTGCAGACATAAAAAGGAAACACATAGTCTAATCTTGATTTCCTTATTTTAATTTTTATATGTATGTTTTGTGAAATGATCACCATGGTAAGCCTATTTAACTTGTTATTCTATTTTGTATTGAAGTAAAATTCATATAACATAAAATTAGTCACTTAAAGTCTCTTAACTAATCATAATTTTGTAGTCACAACTTCTATGTAGTTTCAAAACATATTTATCACCCTAAAAAAAAATCCTTTTACTTATTAAGAAGTTGCTCCCCATACACACCTTCCCTGCTGCTGCTGCTGCTGCTGCTAAGTCGCTTCAGTCGTGTCTGACTCTGTGCGACCCCATAGACGGAAGCCCACCAGGCTCCCCCATCCCTGGGATTCTCCAGACAAGAACACTGGAGTGGGTTGCCATTTCCTTCTCCAATGCATGAAAGTGAAAAGTGAAAGGGAAGTCGTTCAGTCGTGTCTGACTCTTAGCAACCCCATGTACTACAGCCCACCAGGCTCCTCCATCCATGGGATTTTCCAGGCAAGAGTACTGGAGTGGGGTGCCATTGCCTTCTCCGACACACCTTCCCTAGCCCCTGGCAATCACTAATCTGTTTTCTGTCTCTTTGGATTTACCTATTGTAAATATTTCTTACAAGTGGAATTATGCAGTATGTGGTCATTTTGAGGCTAGTTTGTTTCACTTGCCCTGATGTTTTTGAAGTTCACAATATGTTATGTGTCAGTACCTTATTCCTTTTTATGGCTGAATAATATTCTATTTTATGGATATATCACATTTTGTTTATCCACTTATCTGTTTTAGATCTTTTGGATATTTTGAATAGTGCTGCTGTAAACATACATGTACATCTATTTGTCTGAATACCAGTTTTAAATTCCTTTGGGTATACACCTAGGAGTGAGATTGCCAGATCATATGGTAATTCTACTTTTAACTTTTTAAAGAACCATCAAAATATTTTCTGCAGTGGTTTTACTATTTTACATTCTCACCAGCAATCTACAAGGGTCCTAATTTCTCCACATCTTTGCCAAAACTTATTTTTTATTTTTTCATATTTTGCTTTTTCAAAAAATTTCCTGAGTTTGCAGTAGTACCTCATTGTAATTTTGATTTGCATCCCCCTGATGACATCTGCATTGCAGGCAGACTTTTTACCAGATTTTTTACCAGCTAGGCTTCCACCAGGGAAGCCCAAGAATACTGGAGTGGGTAGCTTATCCCTTTTCCAGCAGATCTTCCTGACCCAGGAATTGAACTGGGGTCTCCTACATTGCAGGCAGATTCTTTACCAGCTGAGCTACCAGGGAAGCCCAATGACTAATGAGATTGAAATCTTTCCATGTGCTTATTAGTCGTTTGAATGTCTTCTTTAGGGAAATGTCTATTCAAGTCCTTTGATTATTTTTTAATTGGTCATTTGTCATTTGTTGAGTTATAAGAGTTCCTGTATATTCTGGATTCTAGACCCTTAGATATATGATTTGGAAATATTTTGTTCATTCTTTAGGTTGTCTTTTCACTTTTTTATAATGTCCTTTGATACACAAGTTTCTTTATTTTGATGAAGTACATCTTCTCAGTTATTTCTTTTGTTCCTTATGCTTTTGATGTCATATCTAATAATCCATTGCCAAATCTAAGATCATGTAGATTTATTCTCAGTGTTTTCTTCTAAGTGTTGTCATTTTAGTTCATATTTAGGTTATTGGTCCATTTTCAGTTAATTTTTTTATGTAGTATGAGGTAGGGAACCTACTTCATTTTTTTCATGGATAATCCAGTTGTCCAGCACCAGCTGTTGAAGAGAATATTCTTTCCCCAACTGCATGGTCTTGGCACCTGTGTTGGAAATCAGTTGGCCACAACAGTATAGATTTATGGACTCTCAGTTCTACATGTCTGTCCTGTGGCAGTACCACACTGTTTTGATTACTATAGCTTTGTATGTTGACTTCTTTCAGCTATCATTATCTACATTAATAGAAGCAACAGTGGTAGAGAGTTTTCAAAAAATAGTTACTGGTCAAAAGATCAAATATATTTCCCTATGAGTTATCTTAAAATAACATTGTTATTTAGACTTCATTTCCTAACAAATGGTCTTGGATGGGCAATAAGATGACGCTCTGATTCAGTAATGGGAAAGTAAGACTCTTTCCAAAAACAAGTATCAGGGGGAAGTCTTGTACCAAACCATCTTCACAATATGAGAGGGAGATAGAGGAATAGCAGCCGTATATATTATGATCTCAGTGTTGTTTTTAAAAATATATGTGTCACAGACAGACAAAAAATTGGAAACATTTCAAAATATTGTTTATCTTTGAATGCTGAGCTTATGATTTTTATTTTCTTTTATGTTACTTTTATGTTTTAAAAATCTTATTTAATGAGCATATAATTCTTCTGTAATCAGAAAAAACTGAATAAAAGGAAAGAAGAAGGAAATTCAGTCCTCTTCCTCACACAGTAGGCTTGCAGTCACATACCTAAAGAAATCTAATGTATGCTGAAAGTGAGTATCTACTGAAGACTTCTGTTCCAGGACATGGTCCTTTTAACTTCTTAAAAAGCCAAGCCTCTAGGTGATATTTGGCCTAAAAGTGTCCTGTTAGATGATTTCAAAGACCCTACTCCTTAGTCATGGACTGCAAGGAAAAGTTTCTGATCATAGTATCCAAAATGTTCCATGAGAAGCTGTGGTGAGCTCTTGGAGCCCAGTAGGGCTCATAATAGCTATCATTCAAGTAACACTTATTGTTTACCAGGTACTTTTTAAGGCAGTTTTCATATTGTTGTTCAGTTACTCAAACATGTCCAACTCTGCAATTCCATGAACTTCAGCATGCCAGGCTTCCCTGTCCTTCACTGTCTCCCAGAATTTGCTCAGATTCATGCCCATTGAGTCAGCAATGCTATCCAACATCTTATCCTCTGCTGCCCTCTTCTCCTTTTATGTTCAGTCTTTCCCAGCATCAGGGTCTTTTCCAATGAATTGGCTCTTTGCATCAGGTGGCCAAAATATTAGAGCGTCAGCTCCAATATATTTTCACATAACTGGTCTGTGTCATCCTCACAACCACCCATTAGGATGTGGATCCTAATGCTACCATGTTAGTCTGGGTTCCCCAGAAAAACAGATCCAATAGGAGATAAGCAGATAGATATATAGACAAATAGATAGATAGAGTTCTTATAAGGAACTGGCTCAAACAACAATAGAAGCTACAAAGTCCCAAGATCTGCAGTTGGTAAGCTGAAGACCCAGGAGAGCTGAAGGTATTGTCTGAAGTCAGGGAAAGACTGATGTTATAGCTTGAAGACAGTCAGGCATAGAGAGTATATTTTCCCTCTCAGCCTCTTTGTTCTATTCAGACGCTTAACAGATTAGATGAGACCCACCTACATTGAGGAAGGCAATCTGCTTTAGTCAGTCTACTGATTTAAATATTGATCTCATACAGAAACACCCTCATGGACAAGCCTAGAATAATATTTATCAAAAAAACTGAGCACCCATGGCCCATTCAAGTAGACACACTAAAATTAACATCACAGCTTCCTTGAATATTTTGGACGTTGACTTTTCCTAGACTCATGGTTAATGCTCTTTTTGCTCTTGCCTGCTTTGTCCTGGCTGATCATCTAAGCTTGCCTGGCCACATTTTTATCCAGATCAGCATCTATGAGACCATCCACCCCATCTGGCACCACTAACTGTTTGAATCATACACAACTAACAAGAAAGCCCTAAGACCTTATTGTTGCCCCATATTTTCAAGTTAAAACACAAAGTCTCAAGTCTTAAAATTTTAATTCGAAATATTTAATTGAGGAACTTAGTCAATTATAAAGGAAGTCAGTCCTAAATATTCATTGGAAGGACTGATGCTGAAGCTCCAATATTTTGGCCACCTGATGCAAAGAACTGACTCACTGGAAAAGACCCTGTTGCTGGGAAAGATTGAAGGTAAGGGGAGAAGGGGATGACAGAAAATGCAATGGTTGGATGGCATCACTAACTCAGTGGACATGAGTTTGAGCAAGCTCCAGGAGTTGGTGATGGACAGGGAACCCTGGTGTGCTGCAATCCATGGGGTCACAAAGAGTCGGACACAACTGAGCAACTGAACTGAACTTAGTGTCCTAAAGTTAAAGTTTGAAATCGGTAGGGGAAACATTCCATTTAAAAAAATATTTTAGTGAAGTATATAGTTGATTTACAATGTTGGGTCAATTTCTGCTGTACAGCAAAGTGATTCAGATATATATTTTTTTTCTGTTCTTTTCCATTATGATTTATTACAGGATATTGAATATAGTTCCTTGTGCTGGACAGTAGGACCATGTTGTTTATCCATCCTATGTATACTAGTTTGCATCTCCTAATCCAAAACTCCCAATCAAAAATTCCATTTTTAATGCTTGTGTATGAGTATTATCTAACTTGTATAGCCTGAATTTTATTATTTAGACTGTATAACTTAACTTTTATTATTTAACTTGTGTAGCTTTGTGACCAATCATGTTTTTCAGCACTGTGAAAGTTCTCACAGACTATATGTGATTATACTATGTTGTGAAAGGTCTCATAACTGACTGCTCACACTTAAAAGACATACTGCAAAATGTCTGGAGGCAGGAACAGTAAAAGAAGAGAGGCTGTTCTAAGGAGCTGAGACTTCTATAGACTGAGGTAGCCCCAGGAGATGAGGAAATGGAGACTCAGATCTCTTGATCGATTTTCTCCAGATTACAGATTGGTAGAGCAAGAACACAGATGGGCAGATTCTTAATCCAGTACTCCTTCTGATTAACATTCTGCAACAGTAACATCCAGCTCAGCTGTTCCATCC